TAGCGGCACAGCTGTACCATTGCAACTGTGCTGCTGTAAGATCTCTTGTGTAGCTGCTCTATGCCAACAGGAGAGAGCTCTCCCGTCGATGTAATTAAACCATCCCCAATGAGTGGGGGATAGCTATGTTGGCGGGGGAAACTCTTTCGCTGACATAGCGCTGTGTACACTATGCCGGCGAAACTTATGTCGCTTGGGGGGATGCTTTTTTCACACCCCTGAGCAACATAAGTTTTGCCGAGATAAGTGGTAGTGTAGACATGGCCGAAGAGATGGTTGGAGAGATGAGTGCTGATTTCTTCAGCAGTTTGCTGAGAAAGGGAAGGTTAGAAACAGGGCAGAGGTTGGAGTGTGAGGGCCAAGAGAATGTTGTGTTAATCTTGGTCTATGCCTAAAACGTAGGTTGACCTAGTTACATCACCCAGGAGGTGTTAAAAATACACCCCCCTGAGAGACTTAGTGAAGCCAGCCTAAGCCCTGGTGTAGACACCGATAGTTGACAGAACAATTCTGCTCTCAAGGGGGAGGATTTACTACAGTGACAGAAAACGCCTTCTTTGCTGTAACAAGTGTCTACACTGCAGCGGGGTTGCAGCAGCACCGCAGATGTGCCACTGTAGCACTTGTAGTGCAGACATACCCTAAGAAGGGGATGGATGAAGACAGATTTGAAAGTGTTGGGGAATGTAGCAAAAGCAAAGGAATGATGATAATAGGAGAGAGCCATGACTAAAGGAGAAGCAAGTGGGTGAAGAGAGACTGAGCATCTGTATGCAGACTGACTGCCCTCAAACTCCCAGAAAGCATGGGGTGGCATTTCTCCAATGAAATGCTAGAGTGCTATTGAGGGAGCACAGTGGAGGCATACCTGATTTTTCCCTTTATCCTGTTTATCCTAACATCATATCCCCACCTCTTATTCTCTCTGAGCTCAGCCCATCTTCAGTGATCTCCTCTCTGCCTTTGAGGAGGACAAGGAATTGCACAACTTCGAGCTCCGGGGCAAGCACTACAGCGTGGATTTGAAGAGGTTTGTGCAACATAACATGGAACGGGGATACGTTCGCCACATCCAGCGCCGGCCTTCCTACCGATCACTCCTCAGTATGATGCCATACCTGCAGTACGTGACTCTACTGGCAACAATGCTCCTACAGGCATTTCAACAGCATGTAGGAAAATAAATGTTCCCCTCTCGTTATCTCCTTAGGATGATACCAAGTAAAGCCAGTATACCCTCCTGTCCTACTCATGACATCCCTGGGGAAGATCCCATGGATGGTTACTATGGTCCATACCCTGCTGCTTGGATTCCACAGCCAACTGTTGATCAGGCTTTCCTGCAAATGGAGGTGATGCCATCAGAAGCTGCATACCGCTCTACTTGTGTTCTCTTCCACCAGTCTCTTCCAGAGGATGAGGTCCTGGTGCTGGCAATTTACAGGATCCGGAATGAAGATCTCTGGCAAAGATATACCAAGTAAAAAGAGAAGTGGATGTAGTTAGAGACAACAGCCTTGGAGTGTGAATTGCAGTGCTGGTGCCCAGGGTTAAGCATCCCACCATCCTCAGAGGTTGGGAATATGAATGTGGAGCTATAGGGTGTGGCTCCTACACACAGAGGCAGGGACTGTGAATGCCAATGCCATCAAAGGATAGGAGTGTGAATCCCAGCGCTAGCGCCACAGAACCCATTGTGTTAATAGAGTGTCCAGCTTCCTAGATACTTATGTGGTCCCCATCACCACAGTATTTGAGCACATCACTATTTTTAATGTATTTATCCTCACAACATCCCTGTGAGGCAGTCAAGTGCTATTATTCACATTTTGTAGATGGGGAACTGAGGCCCTGATCCACAAAGATATTTAGTTTCTTAGCTGCCACTGATTTCAGTGGAAGGTAGGGGCCTAATTACCTTTGTGGATCTTGGCCTAACTGATTTCTCCAACATCATACAGGAAGTACGTGGCAGAGCAAGTCCACAGTCTGAGACTAGTACCCTAAGCACTGGACCATCTTTCTTTCCTTGTGAATAGGAATACTATTATCAGTCCTCTAGTCTTTGGTTCCTGCTACGCTCAGAGACTGACAGCAAAAATCTTACTACTATTGCTTTGAACTGTGGGTCCCAGTGCACTAAAGCAAACATATTTGTTCATTAATAGGTACTTCCTTGTGCATTAATTGGTTGCTTCATCTACACCAGAGTGTGCTTATCTCTGCACTGGGTGAATCCTAGTGCTCTGCTGTAGGTATAAATTGTGCATATTGATTTGGTGAGTGAACAGTTGTGCATTACTGGATGGTGCATTCATCTATGAGTGTGTATTGTTGCATGTATCCATCCATGATGGCTTAATTAGTGTGTTAAGGCATGGATTTTGTGGGTAGATGTTTATTTGAGTGCTTCTGAATTCTCAGTTGGAAAGCAAGAGACTGAACCCTAGTTCCCTGGAATTCAAGATTGTGCTACTTATCTTTTGCATAAGTAAGAGTTGAGGGATGGATGGGAGAGATTACTCTTCATGGTCTCCCTGTGGAACTTCAGCATCATCCCCTCAGGGCAGAGACTCTAACCTTCTTCTGTTTCTTCTTTGCTCCCAATTCAGCCGGAAAAAATTCATGACTTGGGGAAGAACAAAGCTTGAGAAACAACACCTGGAGAAGCACCTCTTCTTTGGAACCTCAGCCAGAAGTGTGGAGCCCATTTGCAAGACAAACTTCAGCCAGTTCCTCCCGGAACAGCACAGCCCTATTTTTGGCCAGGGCATTTATTTCTCATTAAGAGCAGACTATTCAAACAGATACTCCCGTGCAAAGAAAGGTGGGATGCGCTACATGTTCCTGGCCAAGGTTTTGGTGGGTAAGACTGTGGCTGGGAGAGCACATTATCGCCGGCCCCCAGAACAGGAGCCTGGTGGGCAACTCTATGACTCTTGTGTCAATAGTGTGACCAAGCCCCAGGTGTACGTGGCCTTTGACAACTTCCAGTGCTACCCCTACTTTCTTATCCACTACAAGCTCCTCTCTGACCCTGTGGTGCTGTACAGCTGATGGCACCAGGAGGAGGGGCTTTTCTGCTTTCTCTGAATCATCCACATAATGACTTCTACCATCAGAGCATGAAGAGGGTTGGTTTTAGTCCTTCCCATTCCTTTGACCTATGCTCCTTGTAAAGGACTTTACAAACTGTTCCTGAGCATACAGAGAGTGCTGGCTGCAAGTACATGTAGGCTAGGATTTTCAAAGGTGCCTAAGGGAATTAGGCACCCAACTCCCATTGAATTAGAATGGGAATTTGGCACCTGAGTCCCATTCAAATTCAATGGGAGTTGGATACCTAGCTCTTAGAGTGGGATTTTCAGAGGAGCCTTAATCCTTTCAGTATAGGAAAAACATACCCAACTAATTTCCACAGCATTCCTCTACCACCTTCTTGAATTCTCACTGATGATCCCCTCTATTCTTTCCCACACTCCACATTTACCCACCTCTGACTTTACCCTGGTCACCTTCAATTCATTTCATCATCCATCTAAATAAGAATGGCTGTGTAAGATGTCCCTTCTGGATTCCACTAAAAAAACACCACCACATTTTGTACATTGGCCAGAAGGAGGCATTGTTGCATGAAATGAAGCCATTCTTTCTCATCCTGATCTCTGGAGGGTCTTGTGGACCATGATGTGTTCCTCAAATACATTAAAAATGCCACCCTTCTATTTCTATGAAATATCAACACCTTCCTCTCTCTAAAAACACTCCTCCCCATGTGAGTTAGCTGTCAATAATGACTGTTGTTCAGTGAAGCCAGCTCTTAGTAATTGCTAAATTTTCTTGTATTAAACACTTGTTTAAATTACTACTACTATAGTGGCTTTATTTGTTGGTAAGGGGTTTTCTTGAATTATTAAAACTAGAGAAGTGTTAATAGTTAATTTACAAAATGTGTGCGTGTCAAATTAACTTCTGTATCTGATGGGGGGAGTCCACAGATTTGGGCTTGTCAGGGTTTCTAGTGGGTCAGGACTTGCTCCTGGCAAAAGTGTCTCACACCATCTCCCCCTTGTTGCTGGAAAACCTCCATGGTTCTCTTGCACTGGCCCCTCCTACCTGATCCATAAAACCTCTAGAAAGCAGCTGATTTCAAGCACCTCTTCCAGCAATTTTTGGTGCTAAGCACCTACACTGTTTTAGCAAGAAGCTGGGGGAGGTATGAACTGTCCATTTTTTGTGGGTTCACCTGTTTGCCACCTCATTGAAATAGCCTCCATCTACAGTTTATTCATTCAATCAGGGCCAGATTCTGATACCCTTTACTCATGGTATGAACCTCTATTCTATCACTTCAGTGGGATTAATTGGGGATTAAGGCAAATAATGACCATTGTGATCACCTTGTCTGATCTCCTGCATAATACAGGCCATAGGAATTCCCTGAACTAATTCCTTCTTCTGCTGCAATAGCTGTGATTGAACTAAAGCATATATCTTAGAAAAAACACCCAATCTTGATTTTAAAATTGTCAGTGATGGAGAATCTACCACAACTCTTGGTTACTTGTTCCAATGGATAATTACCCTTAGCATTAAAAAACTGGACCTTATTTCCAGTCTGAATTTATCTAGCTTCAACTTCCAGCCTTTGGATTTTGCCATACAGTTGACTGAGGCTTTGGCTACACTAGCGTTGCCAGAGCTGCAACTTACTGTGCTCAATGGTGTGAAAAAACACCCCACTAAGCGCAGCGAGTACAGCGCTGTAAAGCGCCAGTGTAATCAGTGCCTGCAGCGCTACACGCTCACTCGCAGCGCTGCAAGCTATTCCCCTGAGAGAAGTGGAGTACATACAGTGCTGCAAGAGCTCTCTTGCAGTGCTGGTGGCACGACTACACTTGTGCTTCACATCGCTGTCACGGCAGCGCTGGGAAGTCCTGAGTGTAGCCAAGCCCTAAGGAACTGAAGAGCCTTCTTTTATCAAATGTCTGTTCCCCATGTAGGTACTCACAGACTGTGATCAAATCACCCTCACCTTTTTGTTTGTTTGTTTTGATTAATTAAATAGATTGAACTCCTTGGGCTAGATTCACAAAGAAATGTAGGCTCAGCATTGCCACACCTAACTGTTAGGCACCTAGAAAATCATTGCAATTCACAAAGCCTGATTTAAGTGCCTTGGCTCCCTATACAATGAATGGGGAGAGAAAGTCACTTCAGAATGGGATTCACAAAAGCCAGCATGCTAGGTAGTTCCTTGCCTAAAATAGCTAGTGGGAGCTGCCAAGGTGAGGGGTGTGTGCTCAGCCCCACCCTTCTCTCTGAGAGGTGTACCTAAATCCTGGCTGTAGGGAATGCCTCCCTCTGCTTGGGATTCTCAGCTGCAAACCCTCTCTTTGTGTTAAGCACCTACACTGTTTTAGCAAGAAGTTGGGGGAGGAGAAGTATCTCTCATAACTTTTACCCTAGTGATTAGAGTACTCACCTGGATGTGGGAGAGCCCTGGTTCAAGATCCTCCTCCTGAGGGGGAGAAGGGATTTGCTATCTGAGAGGTATGAGATATTCTTATGTGAGGCTTCTTCAATGTCTCCTGCTGAAGCTGTTCCACTTTGGAGTAAATAATGAAAGAATCAGTGAGCCCTGTGGCAGAAAGCTTACAGAATGAGGGTCAGACAGGCCACATAAGGTGGACAAAACAGACAAAGGGTGTTGGGG